CACAAAAAAAAAGGTTAATTCCAGACGTTAACAGAAAATGTGAATGTCCCTGGTTCCCAAATAAAAATCTGCCTTTGCAACAATCAGTTCCACACGACTGGCGAATGCCCACACTTCACCTATGAAATGATGGCATATGCTCGAATTACAGCAAAAAATGCGACTTTAAATGTAGCATGTTTCACTTGCCGTTCAAATTCCTGCTAAATTCTGTTGAAAGCACGTGGCAATATCAAATGGGGCCCACAAACGCGTGCATGCACATACTTGCGGAGGCCCACACCAAAACACACGTGTCAGGCGGCGTAAAGTCAGTCATAGGGAGGCCCTGTCCCCTGTGTTGTGACTGCGTCTCGCTCCTTGTTAGAGAATTGATGACGCTGTCTTCAGAGAGCAAACAAGGCGGGTGGCTAAAAAGGTGGTCACTCACCACAGCTCCTTGACCCAGAAAGACACACGGAGGCCATCGCAACATGTGAGCCGCGCTGCGGCGCCCCCCTCGGAAGGCATGCGCGCACACACACTCTTGTTTGTGTTCCATTGATGTGGCGGCTGGAATGTGTCTGTCTTGTGCCTCAATGTGTGCCTTTGTGTGTTGTGAGTGTCAGCGTAGCACAGCAGCAAGGATAACCTGCATGCAAACAAAACATAGATAAAGGACTTGGCACCACGCCCTGTTTTTTCGACATGCTTTCTATTTCACTGTGTTTAATTCCAAAATAAATATTCCCCATGTCAATTGTCAGGTCAGAGGAATGGTGAGAAATTCTCTGTCGATATTTGGGGGATTCACGCATTGATCTGGATGTCACATTCCCAATTGTGGGCATCGTTTCGCCAGGGGCCTCTTCTGTCTTCGGCTTCTGTTCTGACTCACACGTCACATCATTGGGCCCCCGGGGGCCCCTCGCCGGTACATTCACATCACACACCCTGCCTTGCTCTGGGCCCCCAAGCCTTGTTCCAGAAGCGCAAATCCCATAATTGCAGGGCTGACAGCGATAGCTTACGCAGACGTCCTCACCTGGTCGGAAAGAATGAAAACATCAAGTCTGTCAAAATGCAGTGAGGAGATGATTGAGGAGGGTGAGATATTTGAGGAAAGTGTGCAACATCTCGAAAGAAGATGAAGAAGACCCCGTAATGGATTATTAGTAGTATTTTATTGGTATTTAGAATTTTTTAAATGAGTTTTTCTTCTGTTGGAGCATCAATTAAGAAAAACAATGAAAGAATAGTTCTATTTTATTTCCGCACAGCATCAAAATAATTCACGCCGCGTTTCCCTCTTTTTTTTTTTTTTTTTTTTTTTAACAGTCTCATACTCAAATCGAATAATTCAATTTAATTCCCTATAATGACAACATAAAAGAAGCCCAAACTAATGCAGCTTGCAAGGAATGGGCGAACTGCCCAAAGATAGGTGTGCCAAGTTTGTCGCATAATATTTACAAAGACCAGAGGGTGAAATTGCTGCCAAAGTAGCATCAACAAAGTGTTGAGCAAACATAATGAATGATAATGCACATATATTTTTGCGCATTACTAATAGTGACCACAAAGTAAAAATGCTTCCATAGACGACTATAATAAAGTGATGCTGTACTACATCGTCGTATGTAACTCAATTATTGAATATAAAGCAGGACTTCTAAACAATAATAAATATTTGTATTCGATAACTACTGGTCAGGGGCATTTAATTATACAACTGCAGATTAGAGGAGACCTCTATATTGGGAGGAGACCTTGATTTGGATGAAAACATATTTGGAGCAATATTAAATAATGTTACCAGAATATTACAGTTGAGACAGACTGCGCTGAAATAATAAGTCATGTAGCTCACTTGAACGTAAATATGGACGCACACACCATTGTGAAAAGGACGATAATATTTGTGACATAACACAGGTTCATCTTTAATCCCTCCTCGAGAACTCCTTTAGAAGACTATATAAATTGGTCCAGGCTGGTGCTTCCGCTTTGGTTAGCAACTGAGTTCAAATGGGCTCAGCAGTTAACACTTTAATTGCCCTGTGAGAACAATAACGTCTATGGACTGATCTTGCCTCTCTGTGTGAGGGAGGCATTTATTTGTCTTAAGTGGATGATGCACCCACAGACTATTTTGGGCATGGCATCTACAATATTAGAGGGAAGGACAGACATTCTTCTCACATTATTTGTATGCACTGAGAGTGATGAGCAGCAGTAACTTTGAATAATATTTTCTGGACAACAACCCCAGACTAGACATTATGCGTATTATCTGTGATATATATATATTTTTTGCAATATCATTCTTTTTATAGTTAATGCTGTAAAAATGATAACATGATATTAATGCGTGCAATCCAGGGATATCATCTTCACTCGTCAGAGCGTCTGGCCTCCCGTGTGGAAGGACTGAAGCACTTACCAACAAGCTGCTGGCTGGGGTGAGCAACTTTTATTTATGAACCACTTCAAGTGGCGCAGACAGCACAGTGGAGCCAGCGTGTTTATAACAGAGCTCAGTGCGGATCCTCAGGACACAACAGATGAGGATCCACCGTCTAATTTACACTACCACCACGTGCTCTTAACTCAAACGACACCTGTTCAATCTCATGAGATCTTATACAAGAGAATGTTTTTTTTTTTCATACAAGCTGTAATTATTGTCACTGAATATAGTTTTTCAGAAAGTATTTGCATGGAAATAGGAACGTCCGCTTGCCTCCTTTGGATTGATAGTTACATTTGTTTTGTTCCATTTCATCGATTGTTAATAAACTACAATGAAGCCACCCAAGTCAGATTGTAATTTCAAATTTCAATTGACTAACCATTGAAAGGTGATTTCAGAGCAGTATTGTCAATTAACGTCATTTTGCTGTAATAAACAAATTCTCATGTTTCTCCAAAGACATCAAGTGCCTCGGCAAGACACGAGCTTTGCGGTTTGCATTATTGGGATGTATACGATATTTATACGTCGTAGTCATTCGGATTTCTGATTCTGTAGTTATCATCACACCTATGTCATAGCATCATAACAACAAAAGCGCATGTGGAATTGATCCTTTTAAATTTGGTTTGAGCCCCCCCCCCCACTCAAATATATCAAACAAATTATAAAAGTAAGGCACGTGTATTTATAAACAAGTAAACCCATAGTGGTTTACAGAGGCAAAGAAATAATGATTAAATGATTAAAAAGTTAAATAAAAAGATGCCAATACATTATAAAGACAGGATAAATGAACAGACAAATCAACAAAGTAATAACAGAATAAATAGAATAAATCAGGTTGAAATAGAGAATTATTGTTCTTATTTTATTTGTGCAAACGCAGCAGTGAACTATAAAGTTGAACGCATTTAAGTGTACTGCGGTAATTCCAAAATTGGAGGTCCTTTGGAATTCAAAATGATTGAAAAATAAGCCTTCACTGTTCTGATTTTCTGCTACATAATCATCAATATTAATAATAATAATAATAATAATAAAAAATGCAAATAATAGTTTCTTAAGACTTAAGTAAATCACTCGATGCAACCCTGATAATGTAGTGCAACTCTAATCACAGCAACATGATTGGAGGTAACAGAGTTCCAAATCCGAACGAATGTTAGCTTTCTCTCAGGAGTAGAAGCTTGCCGTATTAGCTCACTGTTACTGCTGACCAAGAGTGCAAACTTACTTCTGTAAGTAAGTACAGAGAAATAAAAAATAGTCAGAAGTTGACTTATTCTGATCAAATGCACAGATGGTTTGCATGAGGTAGGGTGAGCTATTCAATCAATGATAACTATGTTCTAAACATCTGAAAAGCAGAAGAGAGGATATAGCTTTGCTTTACACATTCTTTTGTAATACCTTGATGTCAAGTCTAGCGTGTCGTGTGATTCACTGCTTTCCTCTTCTTCTACCATGCTCAAATGGTTCTGGTAACAAGGTTGCATGCATGTTTTGGGACACATGTTCCATGAATAATAATTCTGATTTGAAATATTAAAACAAATGTTGCCACAGTTGCAAGAGATAGCAATGAAACAAAAACAACAAAAAAGAAATTTAAATGTAATTTTAACTGCTCTATTTCAGATTCAATTTGGATCTTGGGTTGGAAAAGAAAAAAAACGGCATTTAGTGGTTACTGTACTCCAGATTTATTTGGCATTGAAAAAACTATTTTCAAGTATCCTTGTCTCTTAGTTTGTCTCGGTGAATATATGTCTCGGGACAAGTAAATCTACACAGAAATTATATGTTTAAGTATTTTGTATGTGGATTATTTAAAATTTTCTGGATGGGACGTAAAATGTCCTCCAGTTCTGGAATGACCCACCAGCAGTTTGAGCAGATCTCAGGTGTTCTGAGAAGTTTGTTCCATAGGTGAGGAGCACTGAAACAGAAGGCTACTTCACTTTGGTTCTGGAAACACACAATAAGTATCATCCAAAGACTTCGGAGCCTAGAAGTCTCATAAAACCAAGTAAAAGATCCAAGATCATTCACGTCGTTTCAGACCTACAGTAAGGTTTTAATATCTATTCTTTGACTCACAGAAAACCAGTCACTTGCAGAGCACACATAGCCAAACAACCACTCACACTCAAGTACAGTTCAGAGCAGGGCCCAGGAACGTGGCGCCCCGTGGTGTACAAATTTTGATAAAACGCAATTTAAAAAAAAAACTGTAACTATCGACAATCCTTGCAAATCACTTGAGCCGTGGGAAACACGCTTTACCACCAATTTAAAGACATAATTTGGCGCCATCTTGTGGCTAAATATGTTACTTGCAACTTAATACAAACTCCCGCCCTTCTAAATTTTATTGGCTCAGCCGCGTGTCAGTCGAGCGGGAGAGGCGCCCATTGATCAGCCATCCTCGCCACTTTTCCTCTTCGCTCGCTTTTGGACTTTTACCCGACGTATGATTGGTGCGGACCACACGGCCACATCGCCATTGGTGCAGCCGTACCCCTCCTCCTCATTTTTATCGGCTGTCTAAGTGCAAAGTGCCTCCTTCTTTCCGCTTGTCACATTCAGTTCGCGGTTGTCGCTTTTGTTTCTGTTTTGGTTTGTTCCGTTTTTCCAGGTGAAATTATAAATTAACAGCACTCAAACTATGTCTGTGTTTGGCGAGGTTCCCCAAGCGGCACCAGTAGCCGTGTTTAAACTAACGCAGGACTTCAATAACGACCAGTTTCCACACAAAGTCAACCTCGGTGTTGGGGGTAAGTTGGAACACAGCATTGATTTAATTGATGAGCCCGTAATTTTTGTAGTTCCTTTGCATTTCTGTTTCACTTCCTCCATATGTACAGCTTAGATTGGCTTCATTAAAAAATAATCATAATGTGTTCACATTTTTGGGTGACATTACATAATATTTAAATGCCATAGGTCAATGATACTAACCTGCACAATGACCTCTTTGCTCTGAATCAGTTTTGAGTTCAAATTCCCCTCTTGTTTGTGAAACAACCGCACGTTTTAGTCCTGTGCAACCTTTGTCACATGTAATCAGATTACGAGAAGTAATCCTGGCCCCTTTGCACAAGAGGCTCGTGTGGTAACCGGCACTGCAGTGTTGTGTTGCTGCTTCTGCTCCCACCTGAGTCCATTAAGTGCAGGAGGCTGAAGCTTTGTAATCCTTTGATCTTTGACAAGATGCAGCATGACAGATGGCGAATATAGGCCAAAACGTCACATTAAAATCACATTGGGATTCTTGATGCATGCCATGCAATAGGTTGTTTGTTGCAGTGGAATCAGAATCAAGTTGTCTAAAAAAAAAAGTGGCACCTTGAATTTGAGAAAAATGTACATTGTGCACCTGAGCAATACTCAATTTGGTATTCTACGATTCAGCAATGTTTCGTGTTACTGGTTATTTTTCTTATTGTCTGTCTAATGTTTTTGTCAACTTGTAATGCAGCCTACCGCACGGATGAAGGCAAGCCGTGGGTTTTGCCGGTGGTTAAAAAAGTGGAACAGATCATCGCGAACGATGACAAGCTCAACCACGAGTACCTGCCCATCCTGGGTTTGCCCGAATTCAGATCCTCAGCATCCAAAATTGCACTGGGAGACAGCAGCACTGCTATCATGGAGAACAGGGTGAGTTACATGCACCCAACCACTGGATTTTGCACTTCCTGTTTGGCTTCATTCACATTGGTTGTTTGTCCCATTCAGGTGGGGGCGGTTCAGTGTCTTGGCGGTACCGGTGCGCTGAAGATTGGAGCAGAGTTTCTCAGACGTTTCTACAACGGAAGCAACAACACAAAGACACCAGTCTATGTGTCCGCGCCGACTTGGGGTATAGTCACACTTGGGTTGGATTTACACTTCAGTTTCAAGTGACCAATTCTGATTTATTCCCTAATTTGTTTTTGATTGTCATTACAAGTGACACATTTACGGCTGGGTTTACACTGATGGAACTCATGAAACAGCCCAAACAAAACGGTGAATATAAAAAGTCCACAAACCCGGGGTTTTGTGATCATAAACAATGAGACCTCTATAATCGTTTTAAACCTTTTTTCACGATTAATGTGACTTACAACCTGTACATCACAATTGAAGGAATTTCAGCATGGTTAAAAAAAAAAAGTAACTGAAATAATGTGTTTGCACACCCAATTAATAACTGTACAGTATTGTGGCTATGTGCAATGTTCAAAATTAACTTATCACATTCAAAATAGTACACAAAACACTTTAACCCAAAATGCATTTCATTTGTTCTTCGATGCTTTTTCTGCCTCTTTTTTTTTCCTGGCAGACATCTGAAGATTTTGTGCTTATTCACATTCTCCCACATGAGTTGGGAGATATTGTTAGGGTCCAACGACATTATTTTTGTCATCGAATTTTCATTTGAACAACAATAGTACTTCAATGATATGGAGTAAATCTTAAACCTTACATACACGTATCCAAATTTTGCCACTCCAAAGCCCCGCCCCCAAAAATAAAAAATCAAAACTGTGTTTTACTTAAGCTATGCAGTGTAAATCCAGCCGTAAAATGTCCTTGGTCTTGATGAAAGACACTGTAAAGCTATTATTTATGTTCTTGTCTTAGTCACAACAGTTCATTATTAGTGCCAGTGGAGGAGCTAAATTTTTATCATTTGGTGGCCAAGGTTATATCAGGGGTTCCGCAAAACAACAAATTGGAACCATATCAAGAATCAAGACCCATTCTTTTATTGAATACAATTCACACTCAGACACACAAAATGTCAGGGAAAATAGACCAATGTAGATGGGAATGTAATATTCAAACTGTTTTTTTTTTTTTTTTTAAATCAAAACCCAAAAAAAGTGAACCCGCCTCCCTCCCCCCACACCGGCTCCACCAGTGATAAGTGCACGTTGACACATTGTGTGAGCTGACCTTGTGTACAAAGTACAAAAACATTGAAGAGACTCTCCTCATCTGCTTTAGAGAATCACAACGGCGTGTTCACCAACGCCGGCTTTGAGGATGTCCGCCCCTACAAGTACTGGGATGCGCAGAAGAGAGGCCTTGATCTGTCTGGCTTCCTTGCCGACTTGGAGGTAAATAGCATCCCCTGAACTCTGGAACAACAACTCCAAAGTCAAACACCCCCAAAATTGGTACAATTTGCAATTCAGACAAAGTTTTCTGGAACAATATGCCCCAAATCAAGTCTGGTCATACTGTAGCTCTGTTCATTTTTTGTTTGTTTGCTTTCTGTGATTTTGTGAAGCTAAAATGCTGGCCCTGTTTTTTGATACCTTTTTTTGTGGCAAAGACACAAAAAATGTGGAATGTTCTTTGTTGTTGTCCAAACTAGAAGCATGGCATTGGTTGACTGTCATCCAATATGCATCGCACTCAACCGCGTTCTATTTCCGTTCTCTCAGAGCTGCCCAGAGCGTTCCATCTTTGTCTTGCACGCTTGTGCCCACAATCCAACTGGCACAGATCCCATACAGGAGCAGTGGAAGCAGATTGCTGAAGTCATGATGGTACTGAAACTGTTGTGGCCTCCTCAGATGTCCTCACACAGACGCGTTAGTTAAATGTTTGTGTATATAATGAGAGTTTATTTTTGTTTCTTCTGTTCTTTGGCAGAGAAGGAAGCTGTTTGTGTTCTTTGACTCAGCTTATCAAGGATTCGCTTCGGGCAGCCTGGATAAAGATGCCTGGGCCGTTCGGTTTTTCGTATCTATGGGCTTTGAAATGTTCTGCGCCCAGTCATTCTCCAAGAACTTTGGCCTCTATAGTATGTAACACATGAGTTTGCTCCTACCAGCTGGTCACGGTCTCAAGAGTGTTGTATTTTCTATAATTTCACTGCACATGCCCACAGCTTTGAAGAGCAGATACACAGGCTTGATTTTTCATGATTTTAAAGTTTTAAGTCTTATTTGATGGAGTTGTTAACGGCAATCTTCTATAGGGTACTTAAAAAAAAGAAGTTATTTTTTAATTCTTGGTGTTTTTATGTGGCTTAAATGTTTTGACCAGAATTTTCTGGTGACTTCCACTCACTCTTCCCCACTGTCTGCATTTCTCCAATAACGTTCCGTTTTAACGTGAAACTCTATTTTCACCAGACTTACACTATCATACATTTTTGTTTGGAATCTGCTAATAATAAAGCGCAATCTCTTGTTCCCATTAGATGAACGTGTTGGCAACTTGACTGTGGTGGCTCGTGATGCCGATAACCTGAAGAGAGTTCTGTCCCAAATGGAGAAAATTGTGCGAACCACCTGGTCCAACCCACCTACTCAGGGGGCTCGCATCGTGGCCGTCACAATCAACTCGCCGGAGCTCTTTGCCGAATGGTCAGCTGTCAAACTCACCATCTGGTGCGATGGCTATGAAAGTGGCGCGTTATCAAACGCAACATTTTATTTGTGCGACTCCAGGAAAGACAACGTGAAGACAATGGCTGACAGGGTGTTGTTGATGAGAGCCCAGCTGAAAGCCAAGCTCCAGGCTCTGGGGACGCCAGGAAGCTGGGACCACATCACAGAGCAAATTGGCATGTTCAGCTTCACCGGACTCAACCGTGAGTACACACACAGGCGCGCACACGCACCATTTCGCTTTGAATGCATTCGCGCTGCTTTCTGAACTCAGCTATGCTAAGAATGCAAAACATGTGTTCCTGGTGTTACACATCTGGAGTAATGCAGCCTGCGTTGCTGCCGCCGTTATTTCCCGCAGCCAGACAAGTGGAATACATGGTGAAGGAGAAACACGTCTACCTGATGGCCAGCGGACGCATCAACATGTGTGGCTTGACCAGCAAGAACATCAATTACGTGGCTGAGTCCATCCACGAGGCCGTTACTAAGGTCCAGTAGAAGACTCGGCTCAGTGTACTGTTCCTAATCTAAATGCAACGTGCAGCCGGTAAGATCTGACCCACAATGCAATTCTAAAAACAACTGAGAAAACCAGAGGAACTGTTTTAAAAAGCCCTGAAACATTTCATATTTAAATCCTCCTTATATACGGTGAAGATAAAAAAAGTCTACATGCTCCTGTTCAAATCCTGAAACATTTCATATTTAAATCCTCCTTATATACAGTAAAGATAAAAAAGTCTACACACTCCTGTTCAAATGCCCTCGTCGCTCTCTCTCTCTCTCTCTCTCTCTCTCTCTCTCTCTCTCTCTCTCTCTCTCTCTCTCTCTCTCTCTCTCTCTCCCTCCCTCCATGTATAAAATACACACACACACACACACAAAAACACATTCTCTTCTAACCGGAGATGTGGCTATGTTTGGAATGAACCAATCACTTCTCTCTCTCTCTCTCTCTCTCTCCCCCCCTCCCCATGTATAAAAATACACACGCACACACATTCTCTTCTAACCAGGGATATGGCTATGTTTGGAATGAACCAATCACATTCAAACTCAAGTTCACTGTGAGTCAGCACACACCTTGCTCGCGATTTAAGTGCCTTTGATTTTAACGCTAAGTGTTCAGGTGTTCTAGTAAGCTGAAATTTTGCTTTCCAGCAAACGCCTGAAGGTGTTGTGGAAACACTGACTGCTGTTTTCATTTGTTCATAATTCCCCATAGCTTGACTAAGCCTCCCGTTCCAGCTGAAGATAAATTGTCTCCAAAAATGATGATGCCACCACCATGTTTTACTATATCCTTATGTGTGGTGTTCTTATGGTGATGAGCAATGTGGTGTTTGCGCCAAACACGCCTTTTGGAATTAGTAAATTTAAAAAAAAAAAAATCGAAATTGGTGTTAACATTTTGCAAAAACACACTTCAAATCTCTCAAATGCACATGGCGAAGTGTGTTCTGGTCTGATGAAACTAAAGTTGACAATAGTTTTGAACTTATTGACAGTATATTGGTCTCATTTTTATCACAGAACACGTGGGTGTGTAGACTTTTTGGATCCTCTGTATAATTAACATTTAACTATGGGCTACTTTTAAAAAATAACAATTTAAATAACCACAAATTGGAAAAATGGTTCCACCTCCACTACCTTTATAAAACTTTACAATATCCTCCCGTTGAGGTAATTTTGTGTTCACAGTGGGTATTCAAAAGTTTTGGCATGACTAATTTATTTTTTAATTTCTGTTCATAGTACTGCTGGGACATTACCAGTAAGAGATTGATACATTCTAGTGTCTTAGCATTCCAAAACTAGTTAATGGACTTTCCAGTAATGCATTAAATGGCTGAAATGAAGGTGCATTATTGATGTCCAACTTGCAAAACTGCCAAAATGATTCCTAACGGGAATATACGTGATTGTAATTTTGAAATAAAGAACTTAATGCTCTGCTTAATAAGACTTGAAACTTAACATACAATATTGTCGTTTCTAAAGAAACATCCTGATGATGAAATCTTACCGAACGACGAGTCGTCTACTTGAGCACTGACTTTCTTCACTGTGTTTTTGTGTCTTTTACACAAAGAGAAAACGTCCACCGGGTATTTCAAACTTGCACCTAGGGAATTTTTGACACAAACACGAGACTCCATCGCTTTATTCTGTTTAGTCTTAACGTGCGCATGAATTCAAGCTATGAATGTTCTCGAGAGAAACGTCAATAAATGCGTTTAAATCACATCTGCGTGTTTGTCATTCATGCTGGAATCAATGTGCATCTAAAGACGGGGAAATGACTTAGCTTAGCATTAATGACAAATAAAAAATTGAAAAAAGAGGGAGCAGAATATGTTTTGTTTGTAAGGCATTCATTAGAGTGTGATATTTTATTGAAATGCATTATATTTTCATTAAGTGTCTTATCATACAGGTATTGGGGTTGGTACAACATTATCCTTCTTATAAGAAGTAAATAACTGGACAGAAGTTTAGCATTATGGGTACAGTAAAAATAAAAAAAAAAACAACAACAGCACAGTACAATTTTATTGCTCGTAATATATTATTTCCACTATTTATTTAAGTGTATTTAAAGTTTTCTCATCTTTGGATAAATTACAGAACATAATCATCCAGATCGCAAAATAGGAAAAGAAAATAAACATGGAGGAGATTTGTGTGAATGGTAAATAAAAATCATGTATACATAAACACAAAAGACCATCATACAGTAGTATAATTTTATTGTTCATAATGTATTTTACATATAATTCATTTAAATCTATTCGAAAGTTGTTCAGTTTCTTATTTTTCAGTACTTGACTTACAGTACATCCAAAAAATCAAATGTGACAAGAAAATAAACATACAGCAGCTCAATATTGATGGTAATTAAAAATACACCAAAAAAATCATAATCATAATTTTCTTCAAGTCCAGTATATTTTAGATTTGTTCAATTTCTTAATATATTTGGATAAGTTCCCCTCAGGAATACAAATGGCAAAATGTGAGTGTCAGTCAGTCATATCGAAATGACATGTTAGTGTATAAAGAGTTGGCTCAGTCCCAAGTGCTGAGCAATGCATTTTCCTTTGTACTTTTTTCGTTGTTTCGTGTGTGTGTGTGTGTGTGTGTGTTGTGTGTGTGTGTGTGTGTGGCTTGACGTCAGCATGGGTTTCACATTGCTCTTCTCTTATATTCATTCAACTTGCAGGTTTCTCCTGTAGCAGATCCATTCAATTAAAAGTGAGTTAAATCGTGAACATCCTTTGTTGATTATTCAAAACACTTTCTTTGTTGGTTTTTTTTTTTGCATCAGTATCCAAATGTTTCAGGCAGCCTCATTTCTACTCAGAAGCCTCTTTATCCGGGTTCTAGTCACTCAAATATGAATTTTAACGGGAATACATATTTGTTTAGTTGTGAGGATCATACACATAAGCAAACAGTAGCATAAAATTTGAAGGAAGTTTCTTTTGGGGGGGAAGTTAGTGCAACAATGCTACTCATGCACTGCCCAGGTCCAAGCATGCATACGGACAGCAGGGCTCTCTAAAGGGGACGGTCCTGCTTTATAGGCAGTATAAATAAACAAACATGCAAATAACATCGTTTCCCTTCTTAAAAGTAATCGTCAGACATCCTCAAACACACACACATAGCTTATTGTTAGTTGGTTTTATAGGCAGCTTCAGTGTCGTGTTAAAAGACGTGGGATGACATAATTGCCGTACTTCCTGTCGTGATGTGTTTTGATGCACGAGTGCCAAATATTGATGTTTTTACTGAAACAGATGCCATTATGAACTTAATGTCCCTAATCAACAGTCGGCACCTCATGCTTATCAAATGGATTTTTGAATGGATGCTATTTTTACGCTAGAATGATCCTCACTGTTGAAAATCTGGATTTTTTTTTTTCATGGGCATTGTCAATATGTAAAATGTAATAGTGTGGAACCTCAAAGGTTGAACGCAATTCTTTTGAGGACAATCCAATTTGTTTTCGCACTTTAAATAAATAATTTTCATAACAAATGAATGGGAATAGTCTTTTCCAGGGTCAGGCTGTTGCCATCATAAAACCATCCATCGATATTCTGTAGCATTTTTTCTCAGCTCACCCGTGATCAAAATGACGACAATTGCTACAGAAAATTAAAATGGTTGGATTCTAAGTTCAGATTCCGGTTCTCACCCATCTTATTTTCTAACATTCTTACATCCTGCTCCTGTGTGATTTTACAGGCCCATTTTTTCTTAAAATGTGCGTCAAATTCAGAATTGTACAACGTCAGAGAGCTTCAACTTTAGCGGTTCCACTATGTTTCAAGTAGCACAGAATTGTCTTATTGCACGATTATTATTATGGCATCACATCCGTAATCAGTTCATGTGATAGTCCCTAAAGCTACCCAAGGACAGAAAATGCTGTTTGCTGAAAACATGCAATGACAGAATTATTTGTAGACGTACTATCTGATGCTAAATAAAATCCATCGACTGTACATATTGCTATTGTTCATATCCTATTTGGTTATCTCATACATATAAAAAAAAATAGGTAAGAAAGTGTCACCTTTTGAAAATTGTGCAAGCCCCTCTTAAGTCTGCGGGAATTACAATTAGTAGTCGTTCAAGTTCAGAAGATTATGGCTCTTGTTTTTTTTTTTCAATCAGCTGTAAAAATTGTGCTCTCATCTGTACAAGTAGTTACTTTTTTTCTTGTTCTTCTTTGTGTGTTGGCAGTAGATGGCGCCCTTGCAACGCGAGTTTGGCAAACAATTCCAGTTGCAAACTGCCTCACAATACGAAACGAATTATGATACGTTCCCCTTTGCTGATGGTAAGTATGTTCTCATGACAATTTAGCAGGAAATCATACAAAAAGTGAATATAATTTATAATATGCACGAACTGGATTTTTGGGGGAACTGAAAAATGTTTTGAATGTCATTATTTTGTCCAACCCAGAATGTTGCACTGTCCCTCAACCAGTCATGCTCAAGCTCACCTGCGATAGAAAATGGGAGGATGGCTGGTATTTAAAGTTAGTGGTTACCACCCCCCGCCCCCCAAAAATACAATAATACTGTTTTAGATATGTCACATAGAGACACGCCCAATTATTGTCATTTTTCTACTAAAAATGCATCATGTTGTAGTGCATTATCCTGCTAAATTGTCACAAGAATTGGCTTTGATTGAGATGAATGACGTATCGTTGACACTTCGTGGCTTAAATGACTTCTACATCTATCACACTGGGATGGTGCCTGTGCTAGGGGTTATCAGAACCTTTGAGGACCGAGAAAAGAGACTCAGAATGATGTTCTCCATATCACATAACATACCAGTGCATTTCAAATCCACTATTACCCTCAGATAAAAAGCTGGTTCACACTCTAAGGGCAAAATCCTGAGAAGCAAACTCAACAATGTTTTTTATGCGGCGCCGTATCGTGAGGAGTGCAGTGACCTCTATATGGGAGACACTAAGCAGTTTTCACACAAACAAATGCTACAACAACATTTCTTTGAGGACAACAATGTCCAAATTCTGTGTTGCCGCTTGGCAGGAGAGCAACCGGTTGGTTTCTTGGACGGTTGTCACCAGCCATGCACAGCAACAACAACAACAACTGCAATTTAGAACTGAAGACACCTTTTAGATTCAAGGTGAAACATCAACAAACAAGAGTCCGGTTGCCTTGATTCCAGTTTTTTCGCATCACTGCAAAAGTACTCATTGGAGCTGCAAAACTGGCAGCAAGGCTTCAATGACGTGGGCGACTACAGGTCCCGAGTGGCCATTTTAAATCAGCAAACTCTGGCACAAACACATGTACCCAACCAGCACTGGCACCAGCTTACTGTGAAAGGCGTATCAGAGGCTTTACTTCCCAGTAGGGGAATTGAACCACCGCATAAGGCCGATTAAGCCAATGTATTGCTATTGGGAATTTTCAACTCCACTTCCATTTATTACCCCCCCTCATGTGTTGTTCCCTTTTTGTCTCAATCACAGAAGGTGTGAAGGGAGGCAGTTTGAGGACAGAGTATCCGTGAAGACCTGAGAGCACCGGTAACTATAGAACATGATGATAATGGCCTCTGGAGGAAGGTGCAGGGGCATCGAGGGAGTCTATGTGACGCTTGGACGAGAAAGGTCAAAATAAATAAAGAGGTGTGCTAGCTTGTCACTGGAGGCTGCTCCAGACCTTCCTCCAAGCTCCTTTCTCCATCCCGTGACTTTTTCCTCCTTTTGTTACCTGGAAACAAGGACAACCTGTTGGCATTTAGTGGCACACAAAAGAATCCCAATGGGATAAGTCTTTTTTTTTTTTCCTTCACGTTAGTTTCAATATATTGGAACTATAAACCAAAAGAAAATCCAGAGGAACATCTGTGATTAAATGCATTTAAAATTTGACAAACTCACTCACAAGACCTCAAAGGATAAACTTTGTGCTTATTTTGCTTTTTCTTTTCCTTTTTCTGTGACACACATATAAAAAGTAGACACATCCCTGTTCAAGTACAAAAATGTTAGACTAAAATAAATCAGTTCAAAATTTTAGTCCCCTTTCTAATCTGACCTGTCAAATTTAGTTGAAATTAAAAAATATATATTTTATTTGGGGAATTTAAAAAAACAACAACTGAGATAATGTGGTTGCACAAGTGAGCACACGCTCCTGTAACAAGGAATAGATTACTTGTTGTTGTTGAAGTACATTCGATTTGTAAAAAAAAAAAAAGGGGGGGGGGGAGTAGGACTGATAAGCTGCAACTTCACCCTATGCCTTTTCGGTTGGCTTTGTTTTCCTGTAAAATTCTGTAATGATGATTTTTATTGGATTAGCTTTAGTCAATAAAAGAAAAAACAATCAACCGAATCAATCGATCAAAAATGTGGCTGCGCTCAGAATTAACTAAGCACATCCAAGCTGATGTTAAATGGGACTCACCACTCACCTGCCGGCATTTTAAAAGTGGCTGTGATTTAGCCCAAATGCCACCAGCTTCATAGTTTTTAAGGTCTTGTTTTTGGTGATGAGCAGTGTTGCATTTGCACCAAACATACCTTTTGGAATTATGCCTCTAGAAATTTTAACCCAAACTTTACAAACACACTGGGGGCGAAATGTATTTTTTTGTAGTCTGACCAAAGGAACAGCCTGACTGGAAAGCTATGTGAAGTAAAACCTGCATGTGAAACAGTCAGACCGCAAATGAACCCGTTGCACATTGACTCAAACATCACACCGGACAACATATCCCTTGACCCAAATGAAAGAATAAATCAATGAATCACGTCATTCCGGAGCCAATAGGGAGTTTAGAGTCTGTAAGAAACCATCACAGTAACCCATCATCTGTTGCTAAGCTACGCCAGGCACAGTTGCCACGTCTGACACAAGCAGTTAGAGAAGACGCACGCATTGCTTGATGTGTTCACGGCAGCTGTCTCACTCACTCAATTTCCGCAGGAGCTTCTTCCCGACGTTCTCTTCGGAGCTGGACAGAGAGCGAGAGCTGATGTAAGGAGAGGTGGATGGCTGAGAGTCTGTAGGCACGTCTGAAAGAAGACACAAAAAAGTTGAGTTGGTTGAATTTTGAAAGATTTTCTAGTCATTCGGGTTTTTATATGCTGTATATATTTCTTCATACCCAAATATGCTTTTATTTTAGTACACAAAAAATATGAACCAGCTGTACGCAGTTGTTTTCTTATTTTTCAATTTTTAAATTTGAGATCAAACTAATTGAAACAAACACCAACAAATATGAATTAATGCTAATTTTACAACAAATAAATAGAAAACCATATATTGTATTACTGAAATTGCAATACATTATAATACAATTACAACAATACCTATGTTAATTAATATGATCAACAGCAAATACAACTTAATTTAAAAAAATATATTTTTTTAAACAAATGAAATAATGTGGTTGCACAAGTGTGTGCACACCCTCTTGTAACCGGGGATGTGGCCAATAACATTCAAACTTCAAAATGAGAGTCAGCACAGACGTGAAAAAGTTCAGTTATTCTAGTAGGCTTTTCCTGACATTTTCTTTGCTCTCTAGCAGAAGCCTGTGAAGGATTTGATCTTACACTGACTGGTATTTGATATTGTTCATAATTCCGTCCACCTTGACTAAGGCCAACTCCCAGCTGAAAAAACACATTGTAGTGTCTGTTTTTAAAGTGTTGAAGGACTTCCTTGTACCACCGATTTGATGTTCTAAATGAATCAAAGAACATGTTGGATTGAAGAACTACTTGGTGCAGAAATTATCTACACATTTATTCAAACATCAAATAATATTTGACAATGCTGACCATTTTCTCCATAATTTTCTGGTCGATCCTCTTGGATGTAGGGAATCTCATCCATACGGAGGAACACGGTGTCATTGGGACTCCGCTGGCCATCAGATTTGCTGCCTGTGTGAAGAAAGGTGCCAGTCAACGGTAGCCTTGAAGGTAAATGAGTTGTGATTTAACTGGGAGCGGTTTTAGTTGCTGCAATGTGATTTCAAGTCGTAGGACTCATAGTAGACATTAGACATCTATCGCACAGTAGAATACAGATGGTTTGTGGAAAATCCTTTAAGCCCTGACAAAAAAACAAAAACAAAGAGCAGATTGCACATAGCACGTTTGTTGCGTTTTGGGAGATGAGTCATAACGAGTCTTTGACTTCATCGGATGCTTTATCTGTAAATACCTTATGGTGTAATATTGTGAAAGATAATTAAACTGGGATTTGAGATGCCCTTCTAAATATACACACACACTGGCCACAACAACATTAGATCCAATACAAGAGCCGTATCAACCAATCTGTTCTTACATAAGATAATAAATCTGTTTTGCTTGACACCGTCAAAGAGATATCAAATTTAGGAACATGTTTATTATTTGGATTTTATGTAGTTTGCAGTGGGAAAGGACTGCACGGCTTTTGGGTTATCTTTAGATTATTTTTCTTTTTCAAAACCATTTTCATTCAAAACCATTCAAAATGGGTCATGGAATAGACTGACAGAATAACTGACTTACAGTTTATTTATTTAACATGAACATAATAAAATCACACAAAGAAAAGTTATTATTATTTAGCAAAAGCACACCAAATTATTTTTGAGGTGGAAATCCAAACTTCACTTGCGGTGACCTTCATCACTTGACCCAAGGAAGTTTAAAACACACAAATGACATGACGAAAAACTAAATTGTTAAATATCTAATCAATAATTACTTACGAACGATACGATTTCTCTCATTGAGCCTGCAGGTGTTGCGAAATCCCGCGTGGGGATGGAGCTGAGCTAGCCGAGCCAGTCCCAGGCGGGTGTGGGCGCTGGTGAGGGGGAGGGCGATGCTGTGAGAACGAGCTTCTACCACAGACTGTCTCCCTTTCGCGTCTGCGTCCACCGGGTCCGGCGTCTGGGGGGAGCTGTCCATCCGTGTGGCCGTCAGGGCGTTCTGGTAGTGCGTCCTGATTATCTGAGGGAAGGGTCACAATTTTGGGAAAAATTCAGATGTCGCGTGCTTAATGAGTAGTGGTTTGTCTTTGTCACCTTGATGATCTGCAGGTCTGTGAGCTGTCGGACCGAGTAGTCCGGTAAGTAGAGCCCTCCTGCAGAGAGCTGACCAATACTGCCGCCACTCAGCAGCGAGTCTGATTGGTTCAGACCACTGCTGCGAGAGTTGTATCGATGACCTGCATGGAAAATCAGGAAAAACACTGTAGGAACATGCAGATTTGCACAAGAATAAGGAACGACTAAAAAAATGTACAAAGGCCAAAACACAAGCCTCTTTTACAAAAGTTCTATCATAATATATAATATTAGGGAAGAATTAAAAAAAAAGACGTTTAATGCCACTTCCAGTTTATATTTACAGTCAACCTAAACATAAAACTAAGAGATTTATACATGTGTATCAAACAACCAAACAACTACCAAAAGAAATGACCTGCTCATGCTAATATAAATTGGAAAATACCATCGAATCCAGTTTAGAAAATATTTTGAGTTGACTTCCCCTTTAAGCAATGAATATTTGAAAACAAATGGTGGAGCAACACATGTAGAAACATAATGTAGGCATATTCACAGGCATATATTCTTTATCCTCTCAAAAAAATGACTAATATTTCAGCAATTTACTGACTGACTAACAGTAGTTGTGAAACTATTTTTCCTTGTTTGCATGGGCATGACTATATTACATTGTCCCTATTTGGCCAAGGCTGGCACACTAGAAGGAGCCATGCATTTAATTTAATTGCAGGATTTAATCATTATTCACAAATGTTTTATTTTTTTACATTTAGTTTGTTACTCTATATTTTTATTAAATACAATATAATATTTTTTTATTGCAAAACACAAGCAAAAATATATCTATTTTTTGTTTTGTCATCCTCATATTTTAAGGCACCACTGCATTGACCTACCATAGCCCTTTCTGTGCTACTTTACTTTCCACAGCAGATCGAAAGAAAAGTTTTGCCTTGATTGAGTTTTTTTTCTGAACTATGGATTTTTGCAATGTCCTAATCTCAGGATTAAGAGATATTAAAATGAGTTTTTTTTTTTGGAGTTGGATTAAGCCTACCACACTGAAATGCAAAAAATGTCCACACACACTTGGAGACCAAAAGTGCACATTAAAGGAACTGAAAACCTTTTCTGCTTGCTCGGCAGTTTTAGCTCACATAATCCCAGTCAGGTTGTCCGCTGGGAAATTCTCTCTCAATCTCATCTTTTTAATTACTTTCTTCCCACAGCCGCTGCTCGGCCGCACACTTAATTTGGGGAGGATTTAGATGTCAGTTAGTTCCCTGATGATCATTGCTCCTTGTCGCTGCCGTCAACGCCATCATGCATCAGTTGACATATATTGACTACTACTGATTATTGTGGATGCACTTACCAATTGGCAGGGGCGGTATGAGGGCTGGCATGCCGTAGTAGGAAAATGCTCCATTTTCAAAGCGGAGGGCCTCCTTTCCGACTTCTACTTCCACCCGTCCCTGTAACGCCAGCACTCATGTCACCACCATAAATTTTTAAGGTGAACTTAATATAACGTTCTCTAAACTTTTGTAGACACAATTTTCAGTGTTTCAATACCTTTTGCACAAATTCCTTAAAAAGAAGCTCAACAGCAAAATTCAGGTGTCGGATCTTTATTTCAATATTATATTTTCTAATTCACTTTAAAGTCCTTCTCATCGTGCTGTTCACATGTTGCCACGATAAGATGACGGGAAAGAATTGATTAACACTGTTGCAGTGTCAACAGCAAATTGCAAGGGAGAGACCGGAAGAGTCACAGAAAGGCATAGAAGTGGACATACTCCTCAGGATGCTGGCCACCTCTGCTAAAATTAGCTACATCCTTAGTTCAACAGATCATTCATTTCTACCTCTGAAATGAAATTATTTGTAAAAATAATCAGAATTTATTTGTGTTTTCTGAAAACAATAGAAAAATAACCTAAGCCACGATTTTAGGAGGATAACGATATGTGCATTGGGTCAGTTAAGGTTGGGAAACAATGTAATTATTACTCAGCGGTCGTGTTACTTGTTCAGAATTGACCGTTGTGAAAAAGGTGATTAAAACAACAACGCGAATTGGGACTTGTTTGAATTATTTAGTTGTTTTTTTCCTCGACGGAACTCAGCATGTTTACCTGCAGGATGAGGACAAAGTAGTCGACGGGTTTGTTCCTTTGGAAGAGGTAGTGCTGAGCAGCGTGTTTGTTCTTGGGGTTGAACTTGAGTTCTTGCACCACACTGGGATGCTTAATAAGACGGAGCAGGATCTTCTCTGACAGGTGACACGGCCTGAACGGCTCCACCTCTGATAGCCAGAGACACAAACGCGCACACAGCAATATGGGACGGTGAGGGGGAAATAAACACCATTTTTTTATTTTTTTTGGTTCTCTCTTCTCTTTGTCCCATTCTCAAAGCATATAAAGTCGCAACAGTTTGTGATTGTTTGTATTATTGTTGTCGTTTTTTTCCCCTCTGTCCTCTCCCCACACCAACACATAAAAGTCATATTCAGAATTTAATGCCCTTTGCGACTGTTGACATTCGGGTGTATGCACAATTCTTGCAGGTCCCCACATGGTCACGCGACCTACCAGTAGCCAAGAAGCGATGTGTTGCCAGCAACAACTGGGGAGAGATCTTCACATTCAGCTCATTTTCTGCCACTTTGAAGATGGAAAAGTCCTGTTGTTTCCTCTCGTGGTGCGATACTCGCCTTTTCGTCCGATTATCAGCTGAGAAACACACAGCGAAGCCAGGTATTTCAACACGTTTACTGTTTTTACACACACTAAATAGGTTTTAGTCATGGGTTTCTTTACGGCCACGCATTGCATTGGATTATCCGCGCTCATATCTGATCGCTACATAGACTCATTCTCTGCGGATGCGAAGGTATTTAATATACAGTACTACATTCCCTCAGATGAATAGTAACTGCTCCATCGACAGCTGGTGCCATAGAGACATAAGCGCTTCTTGACTGTATGTATAATTAGGGAATGTGCACACATTACATGTGCAATTAAACAGATTTTTCTCCCCCACCCAAGTGGTGGCACATATTAAGAAAGCACGTGGGAGAGTGGCGTTTCTATTCATGGATTATGGTGATTTCACTTATTTCATTATGTATAAGTAGTGAGCTGTGAAGAACAAGGGTGAGAGCGTTGGATCAATAGATTAATGAGGCGAGTGATTACGTAATTAATTATTCAAAGAAAATGGAAACATCTTTTAATTGGAGCCGACAAGAAATTATTGTTACACTCTCCTTTTATCACTGATATTGCGAACTGAAAAGCTTTTCAGCTTTGACACGTCAAATGTTTTTTGGAGGGGGGAAATCTCTATCTGCGGATTTGTATTCTTGTAATTGCTAGCGTAAGGGTGGAGTTTTACACGTTGCTGTTCGTTGATTGGCTGCTCTAGAATCGTTACGTCTGTGTTACATTGGCAATAGAATATGCCTCTTATTAGCTGGTTCTTTGAATGTCTTTTTAATCCTTTGCCACATGCTGCTTCACCTAGTCCAAAAACAGATGATTATCTGATGACAGGTAGTAGCCTGTTTTGGTGAAGTTGGACGTAGGACTAATTCTTCATCCTTCTCTTCCATTTTGCACTGCGGATAAGTAAGAGAAAGCTGACGTTTATTTGTCATATCTACGTACTGTAAAGATCCGTCTCATCCACGATCTCAGATTTGATGATCTCTTCGATGACGTCCTCCAGGGTGACGATGCCCATCACCTCGTAGAAAGGATCTCCCTCCCCTTCGTTGTTGACCCGCTGCACTACAGCCAGGTGGGATTTGCCTGCGTTCAGCACCAAAGAAAAAAAATGACACTATATTTTCAGACTAGGTAGCTGTACAGGCCTGTTCTTATTAGAATGTAGTGGGGGGTGGGGGGGGGGGTTGAAGGGTCACATTGATTACTTTTTCAATTTATTTCGAGAAACGTAGATATGAATATGATGAGCCAGGTTATTTTAGTTTAGGTTAAAAAAACATTTTTATAAAAAGAATATAAATGATAATATTTGTGCAACATAGTTCTTTTTAATTATAGAAATATTTGATTCTCCTTTTAATTGCATTATTTATGTTTGAAAATATTTTAATGAATAAAATAAAAATACATTCTTTTATTATTGTCATTGTTGTTGTTGTGAGGGTAAAGAGGGTGATGTTCAATCTTTTGGGGTGCCACAGGGATGAATTTTATGTCCACTACTTTTCTCAATGTACACAATGAATTGGCAGTAGATAAAATGGATGGATTAGTGGATTCAGTTATAATTGCTTCACCTATTATTTAATGAAATAAGGCAAATATCACTATCAATTCATTTATTTCCAGGTCAAACTGTCACTGTCAGAACATTTTTAAGTAACAGTTTTACATTCTTGTCAGCCATACAAGTTCTGATGTAAGAAATAAACTCTACCTTAAGAGTAGGCTGGAGAAAAGAATTGGGACACCATTGGCCCTAACTGTTCAGTTTTTGTTTGTTTTATTTTTTTTTTTACCTAAAACATTCCAAAATACAAACTCCAGGTTTCAGTTAAATCCATTTATCACCGAAAAGGTTTGTACAATTGTTGACTATGCTGAATTCTCATAAGAAGTCGTCATGCAACACCCTAGAAATAAATCTGCAACTAGATATGTGCATTCTAAAAGAAAATGAGCATGAATGCAGCTAAAAAGCCAGGAACCGTATCACATATGCGAGCTTACTTATGATAGTGCTTCAACTCCTTTATGACTTCTGTGGCACAGACAAGAGGGGAGTATTTGAGGGATTA